ATCATTACAGAAAGTATCTCATAAAAAGGCTCTTGTTTTCCTTGTTTGGATAAGGAGATGTAAGAGATCCCCTCCCATTTAGATAGGAAAGCGAAAGGTTTGTGTTTTTTTTTTGTATGTATGTCCTTTAACTCAGCACCTGGCATGGTTATAGGAAACTCACTAAATCTGCTTTCAGAGACCCCAGTCTCTTTCCCATTCCATGTTGTCATTTCCACCCCAGCCCTTTTGGGGCCACCATGCTCTGGCATTTTCTCTTCTATTTCCCATGGAAAACAGCCCTAAGGAAGGACTATCTTGTTGCTCAAACTAGAGTTCTTTTGTTCCTGTCTCAGAGTATCTATATTAGGCTTCAAAGCTTTCCAGGGAGAGAAAATCTTGGTCCAGACATCTGCTGAGGTGAATGGAAAGATATTTTTTTAGGCATCAGCAGAAATCTAAGTGTAGAGAAATCTGAGGCTGAAGAAATTCTCCAGGTTCTTTGCATCTTTCTCCAGCCAGGCAATTAATAATCTTGAACCACTGGCTGACTAGGATCCTTTTTCTGGAAATCAGCAAAAGCAAGGCATGGGTCAAAAGGTTTCCCCATTCATTTTCATCCTGACTCTATGCTATCTAGAACCCAGGCACCCACCACAAGGGTGACATGCAAATCTAACCAGTCCATATTAAAAATTTTTTAAAGAAGAAGCAGCAGCAAGCTGGGCACTGGTAGCTCATGCCTGAAATCCCAGCTAGTAGGAAACTGAGATCTGAAGATCACAGCTCTAAGCCAGCTGAAAAGTCTATGAAACTCTTATCTCCAATTAACCAACGAGATCGAAAGTGGAAGGGTGTGTGGTTCAAGTGGTAGAGTGCTAGCCTTGAGCAAAAAAGCCAAGTGAGAGTTCAAAGTGAAGAGGGGGGAAAGGGAAGAGAGGAGAAGGAGGAGGAGGAGGAGGAGGAGGAGGAGGAGGGGGAGGAGGGGGAGGGGGAGGGGGAGGGGGAGGGGGAGGAGGAAGAGGTACAGGAGGAAAAGAGGGGAAGTGGGAGGGAGATACACAGCAACAAAACAAAGGAGCTGTCCATGGTACTGAACTACAACTGAACAGGAGAGTCTCCTTGCTTCTGGGGAGACTCAGGAAATTTAGGTTCAGCATAGTCTCAGACTTAACAGTATGTGAATGAAAAGAAAGTTCTGAGAAGGTGGAATGAGAGGAGAGTAAAGAGTGAATGGGGATCTAGGGAAAGGGAGAGGGAGATAAAAGGAAAATATAGATGCTCAGACTTACGTACCAAGAAACTGCTAAAGTCAAAACAGAAACTTTAGCCAGGTGCCAGTAGCTCATGCCTATAATCCTAGCTACTCAGGCTGATATATGAGGATTGCAGTTCAAAGCCAGCCAGGGCAGCAAAGTCTGTGAGACTCCTATCTCCAATAAACCGCCAGAAAACTGGAAGTGATGCTGTGGCTCTGATGGTAGAGCACTTGCCTTGAGCTGAAGAGCTGAAGGACAATGCCCAGGCCCAGAGTTCAAGCCCCACAATGGACAAAAAGAAAAAAAAAACCAGAAACTTTATTTTTCTATTATTCTATTCTATTCATTTGTTTTGCTAGTACTGAGGGTTCGACCTAAGGGTCTCAAATGGCTTAGCTGGCCATTTAACCCTCACAGTAATTTCATGAGAGGTGGGTCAAAAGTCCTGAAATCTAAATTTCAGAATGGATCCTGAATAAGACCTGTGAATCTGAATTTATGCTCTCAGGAAATTCTAATGATCAACCAGAGATCTGGTTTGGAGACCATTCAGGTAGACAGTTTGATGGCAATTTTACAGATTAGTAAACTAGTGTTCAGCAAGTAATGCATTCAAGGCCACATGGTTAGGATTAACTACAATATAAAACTAACTCTCTCAGGGAAAGAACTTTGCCAAAAGCATTCCTGCCTGTGGGACAGCTAACATCTAAAAATGAAGAAAGAGCTGAAGGCCACCAACTAAATCCTTGAGACCAAGGGGAGTGGTGAGTGTTGCCAAATGCCGCAGAGAGATTGGGGAGGATGTGGCATGATGGAGAACTGGGGACTGACAGAGCAACAAGTCTGTGGCTCTGAGTGCACCACTAGAGGAAGAGGAAGACACCATCCTGGCATGGCAAGGGCACTCTTTCAGGAAATGTGGCCAGCTGGAAGGAGTTATATTTTGTGGTTCAGCCAAGATCACTCCTTTGAAAGATGATAGCTCTGTGCTGAAATTATTAAAACCAAACATCTGGATTTGGGGGCAGGATATCAAGGAAAAGAAGGGGAGGAAATCCAAGGGAGAAAGCTCAGATAAGCTGTGAGATAATGCAAACTGCAGCCCACTCTCCATATTTCCCAGGACCATTGACATTTTGTTGTATTTTGTTTTGTTGTTGCTTCACTTTTTCTGTTCTATGTAGACTCTGGTCATTAGGGTGCTTGCTTCTATTGGAATATGGAAAGGTTAAAGAATGTCTTGGAGGGCTGGGCACGTGGCTTAGTGGTAGATTGCTTGCCTAGCACGCATGAAGCCCTGGGTTTGATTCCTCAGTATCACATAAACAGAAAAAGGCAGAAGTGGCACTGCAGCTCAAGTCATAGAATACTAGCCTTGAGCAAAAGAAGTTCAGGGATAGTGTCCAGGCCCTGAGTTCAAGGTCTAGGACTGGCAAAAAAAAAAAAAAGACACTCTGATGATTTTTAGTAGTCCTGTGTAACAGGGTTGGAACTACATGGGAACTATAACCCAGAAAGTAGAGCTTATGATCGTCTATGTTGTTTCCACTTTGAAATACTCAGGTGGGTACCACAATCAAGGTTGACTGTGTTCTGTTCCTCCAGGGGCAGCCTGTGAAGCCCTGGCATGCACACTGCAGTGGATAGTATCCTGTACTCCTCTCACAAAACCTAATTCATATCCTCTTTCTGGTGGTTATGAAGCAACATCCTTTCACTTGAAAGACAATGATAGTGACAATAAGTTCTTATCCAAGATTGTAGGCTCCATGTTCATCAACCTAATCTTTCATAACCCTGGGGAAGTAGGTGTCATTAACCCCACATACTTACTAAGTGACAGAAGGCACAATTGAACCCCATCACCTCTTGACTCTAAGTCCAGTGTTCTTCCAATTACAAGTAACTTGCTAATGAGTTACTGGTCATAACTCTTTGAAGGCCACCTTAGCCTATTATGGCTGCATAGAAATAAGCAAGTCTCATTGGGTAAGAAGAATTCTGTAGTGATGAAAGAACCTATGTTGGTCTTTGCTGCTAGTGACCTTTGGCAGGGTGTGTCCCTGCTTTGAAGAGAGGCCAGAAGGAAAAAAAACTATGCACAAGTGCTGGCACAATGACTGGCAGGTACTCTTCCATCCTTCGCCAGCCTGGGTCTTTCTAAGCCCAAAGATATCCTAATTGAGCCTAATTTAGGTTTTTGGTGCACTATGAGAAAACAGGTTGTGTCAAGGCCTGACCATCTTCCACAACCAGCCCAAAACCAAGAGATATACTCCAAAGTCCTTTCCTTTGGAGGCTTCTCTAGGCAATTCCCTACCCCATAAAGTGAAATTAAGCTTATCCTAGAAATACAAGATCTTCCAAGAGTAAACAAAGGACTTCAGACTGTGAAGTATAACTGAAAGGGAATTCCTACTGCCTCTCCAAAGCCTGCTCCCACCCTGAGTGATACAATAAGCTTGAAGATAAGCATCTATCACCTAGCACACATCTATCTTTTCACTGTGCAGCAAAGGTCAGCTCAGTCAGCAGTGCTCTTCCCCACTCCTGAAATTTTTACTAAACTTAGGAAGTGGCTTAGCAGAGCCAAGAGAACCAGAAGACTGACTAGAACCCCAAATACCTACAGGGCCAGACAGGTAATGAATTCACACTTGTCAAAGAGGGGCACAGTGGACATGAAAAAGTCAGCATAAAGCCAGGCACCAGGGGCTCACATCTGTAATCCTAGCTATTCAGGAGCCGGGATCTGAGGATCGCGGTTGAGATTTTCTCCGATTAACCAGCAAAAAGCTGGAAATGGAGCTGTAGCTCAAGTGGTAGAGTGCAAGCCTTGCGCAAAAAAGTCAGGGACAACGCCCAGGCTCTGAATTCAAGCCCCGAGTGCACACACACACACACACACACACACCACCATTCTGAAATGTTTTGAAATATAGAGCTTTGAATAATAGCAGCAACAACAATAAAATACAGCGTTTTAAAAACAAATCTCTGCACCCCCCCTTTCTCCAGCCTTCCATCCTGTGCCTTGTTAATGAACTCCAATAATTCCGAGTGCTTTCTGTTATTTGCAGATCTGGGCTCCTTTCTCCCACCTTTTTGTTTTTTTTACCACCCCCTCCCCCCCTACACCCTAGGGCTCACGTACTTTGCGGCCCCGCAGGCTTTCTGCACACCCTCCCATCCTCGGAGCTGCAGAATAGGAGGGAAGCTTTCTTTCAGCCGCATAGACCCACTTTCAACCCCGCCCTGGCGCCCTGGAGACGCCTGAGGGAGGCGACAGGGCCTCGCTCTGAGGACCCCCTACTCTTCCTGGAAAACCCAGACCTCCTTCTCGGTAACTCTGGAATGGAGATGGGCGTAGAAGACGCCTTACAGAAAGCCTGCTCTCCGCGCTGAGAGGCAAAAGGAGGACACAGTCCAGAGACTCGAGACACAGAGTCTTGGGGTTTCTGGCTCGTAAACTCAGATGTCCAGGCGTTCCCCCTCTCCTCTGGTCACTTTCCATCACGATCGGGTCTTGGGGAGTTGCGCTGCGCACGGCGAGAGGCTCTTAACGCACACCGCGCTGCCCCTGCGCCCTGAGCGCACGGCTGCGGTAGTCACCGAGCTTCCCCGCCCCCGCTCCTGGGCGCCCCTCTTCCCTCTCCGCGATGGACCCAGAGCAGAAGCTCCGCCCCCAACGCACCGCCCCGGCCCCGCGCTTTAAAACCCGGTGCGCACCGCCCCACCGCGCCCAGTCTGCCGCACCTCTCGCATCCTGGATAGACTCAGCCGCAGCCGGACACACGGCCCCAATCCCCCCGCACCATGAGCTTCGGTTCCGAGCACTACCTGTGCTCCTCCTCCTCCTACCGCAAGGTGTTCGGGGATGGCTCTCGCCTGTCTGCGCGCCTCTCCGGGGCCGGTGGCCCGGGCAGCTTCCGTTCACAGTCGCTGTCCCGTTGCAACGTGGCCTCCTCAGGCGCCTGCTCCGGGGCCTCGTCGCTCGGTCTAGGTCTGGCCTACCGCCGGCTCCCGGCGTCCGAGGGGCTGGACCTGAGCCAGGCAGCGGCGCGCACCAACGAGTACAAGATCATCCGCACGAATGAGAAGGAGCAGCTGCAGGGCCTCAACGACCGCTTCGCTGTGTTCATCGAGAAGGTGCACCAGCTGGAGACGCAGAACCGTGCGCTGGAGGCCGAGCTGGCCGCGCTGCGCCAGCGCCACGCCGAGCCCTCGCGCGTCGGCGAGCTCTTCCAGCGCGAGCTGCGCGAGCTGCGCGCGCAGCTGGAGGAGGCGAGCTCGGCCCGCGCACAGGCGGTCCTGGAGCGCGACGGGCTGGCCGAGGAGGTGCAGCGGCTGCGGGCGCGCTGCGAAGAGGAGAGCCGCGGGCGCGAGGGCGCCGAGCGCGCCCTGAAGGCGCAGCAGCGCGACGTGGACGGCGCCACGCTGGCCCGCCTGGATCTGGAGAAGAAGGTGGAGTCGCTGCTGGACGAGCTGGCCTTCGTGCGCCAGGTGCACGACGAGGAGGTTGCCGAGCTGTTGGCCACGCTGCAGGCGTCGTCGCAGGCCGCGGCCGAGGTGGACGTGGCTGTGGCTAAACCCGACCTGACTTCGGCTCTGAGAGAGATCCGCGCCCAGTATGAGTCTCTGGCCGCCAAGAACCTGCAGTCGGCGGAAGAATGGTACAAGTCCAAGTTCGCCAACCTGAACGAGCAAGCGGCACGCAGCACCGAGGCCATCCGTGCCAGCCGCGAGGAGATCCACGAGTACCGGCGCCAGCTGCAGGCGCGCACCATCGAGATCGAGGGCCTGCGCGGGGCCAATGAGTCCTTGGAGAGGCAGATTCTGGAGCTGGAGGAGCGGCACTGTGCCGAGGTGGCCGGCTACCAGGTAAGGGCCCTGAGCACCGCATAGGTAAGGGACGCCCTGTGCTCTTTCCCCGCACATCTGCACTTCCTGTAAAACCGTAGTGGGGTGTAAGGGTGTGGGAGGAGAGGGGAGAAGGGAGTCTCCACTGGAGGCGTGGGCAAACGCGCGCGCGCGCGCACACGCACAGACACACACAAGCTGTATAGCTTTTTACTGTGAATTTAGTTGCCCAGAAACTCACTTTCCCAGCCCAGTTTCTAATAAAGCTTTTTGTGTAGTGTGAAAAATCTAAAAGGACGTCTCTTTCTCAGCAAGCGGATAAACACACCCTGGCGACCTGAAAAACAATTCCCTACTCCCAATAGGAGTGAGGCCACTGGAGGCAAGTCGCAGCCTCTCCGTGGTCCCAGAAAGTGCTCTTGCGCTCGCTTGCTTGCGCTCGCTCGCTGGCGCTCTCTCGCGATCTCTCTCCCTCCCTCCTCCCTCCCTCCCCCCCTCTCGCTCTCTCTCGCGCGCGCGCGCTCTCTCCCCCTCCCTCTCTCGCTCTCTCTTGCTCTCTCTCCCTCCTCCTTCCTCCTTCTCTCTTTCTTGTCTGAATTTGAAAGGCTTTCTGTGTGCTTCAGAGTCGTTGTTTATTGCTCAAAGCCAGGAACTGCGAAGACCCCAATCCCAATTTCTGGACATTTGCCCTTAAGGTAGAGAAGGGAACCTTTGAGGTGGATGGTGAGTGAGCTATTAACAAGTGCCCCGCCCCACCACTCCCCCACGCACACACAGTTCCCTAGCCGTCAACCTACGGAGGACATTTCTTCCCAGAGAAAGCTTTACACTAGATGGCTTTTCACTAGTTGGACTAGGTCAGGGCGCTGTCTATGGTGCTGATCTGGAATTCCTCCCATTTCAGAAATAATGTCTCTCATCTCGTGTCCCAGTTAGGAATCTCTAGGCAATTAACTGCTTGCTTTTTTCACCCCTCCCCCCTGCATTACTAACACATCCATCTTGGCTACCTGCGATCAGAGGTCACCCTGTGGGCAGCATCAATTTTCACTTTCATGGTTGGCTTAACACTTAACAAAAACCACTTAATCTGCTCAGCCACACTGAGGCCTCACTTGCAAATTCCAATTACCTTAACATTTTTCCATGTTAAGTGCACAGGACAAATCAGAAAGATGGTTTCTTTGTTATAGGCAACATTTTCCCTCACCTGTCTCTGGTGAAGGCCCTTTACTCTGGTGAGGGTATTGATTGAATCTTTCCTTTCAACAAAGGCCACTGCATCTTCAGGCTTACTACATAGAACATTTTCGGTTGATAAGTACAAAGAACACAGAGGCAGGGTGAATTGAAAATATTGAAGAGAACCAAAATAATGTGGAAAACAACCAAAATAGTGTGGTTCAGTTTCCAGACACAATAAAGCCTTTTTAATTGAATGACTATACGTTAGAAACTTCAGTAGTGTATTCTAGCTAGGTTTGAAGTTTATGTTTGACAACATTAATAGGGTATAGGAACATTAATAAAATAGAACCAAGATACAAGACTCTAGGCATTCACTCTCCGTGAGACCAAAGGAAGACACTGTGAGGAGAAGGATACAAAGACACAATGCCTCTGTGTCTCTGATCATATAAAATAATATTTATTGAAGAGAAAAAAAATTGAACCAAGAAAAGGCATGAAATCTTAAGTGTACTGTTTTTGTCAGAAGCTAAATAATTGTTATGTTAAGGTTATTTACTATTCATTACAAATGGCTCATTTGGTAAAAGATGAAAGCCTGCTTGAATTGTTAATTTGGTTAATTTGACATTACAGTATTATTCAAATAAATACTCCTGTTCTGATTCAAGCTCTGTAGCTTGAACTTTTCACTATGTAGTCTACCTCCTGAACAATACAATTAAGACTTAATTAATTAAGACTTCATGTTTCCTTCCAGAACCCTGAGTTCAGTTCAGTGGTCTTCTGGAGGGAATAGGCCAATATTTCTACCAAAAGAAAAAAGAAAAGAAAAGAAAAAAGAAAAAGAAAATCCATTACACAGAATTGCCCACCAAATTGGGCTATTCTATGTCCCCATTTTGCTTGTTTTAGATTCTACATGCCACCAAGCCTGGGCTCCTTTGCAGTAAAAGGCTTTCAGTGTTAGACAATAGTAGTGTCATCCAGACTTGGTCTACAGAGAACAAAAACCAACAGAAAGTGCAGCATCTGCAGCTTTGCAGTACTATCCTCACCCGCTGAGGCCTTCAGCGTCTCAGTGGGCCTACTAGAGGGAGGAGAAGAGGAGATCAGACAACAGAAAAGAGAATTTCCTCCCTGTTGGGACCTGAGACTGGGTGGGGCTTACCTAGCATCTGGTCAAAAACAATCTCAGTGTGCTGACCAAGGTGAAAAAAACCTCCTTTCCACCCTGAAAATTACCCATTGTTTTCTTGCCCTCTCACCCCCACCCCTCACTCCCCTCCCCGCCCTACACACACTTTCACTGCAGTAATGGGAAACAGCTCTCCTTCACCTTCAGGAATTAATGGTAGGCCCATTTTCCTTTGCTAAGTAACCCTCTCCGAGACACAGAAAGGCCCCATTAAAGTCTCACTTTCCCTGCCCCAGAGAGATGACAGCTTATTTGAGGAGACAGCTTTTTACACTTGAGAAAGGATAAAGAATGATTCAAGGTGACATAGTAAGTACACAATAGTATATGAGAACGTGAACCGGACAAGAGGAGGTTTAGAAAGAGCTAGGACTATTGTCTTCAAAAGCCAAATGCAGCCATCCTAATTGGAAAGCTGAAGGATTTTTCATTTCTGACAGAGAAGTTTCCCATCCCCACAGAGCTAGCTGCTTCATCTTTAGAGTCTCAACTGTACTAATGCTGTTCAAAGACCTTCTTGGAGGGTACTGGGGGGGGTCTCAGATATGAACTGTAGTCAGTCTTAGAAAGCCAGAGCTTTCCTTGAAAGACCTTGCTGAACACTCAAGATCACTGCTGGTTAATGCTCTCCAGGGAGACAAGCCAAGGCTGCCCTCTTCCCTCCAATATGAGATTGGAGTGCAGCCTAATTAAATAGCAGGAAGGGTCTGACCCCTGGGAGATTGGAGATGGAAATGGCTGCGTATAAATCAATAGCTTGATAGATCTATTTCTGGAATTAAGATTCAAGAAAGAAAAAAAGCTACATTTGATCTTTGTATTTTTAAAGCTATTTAATCTGGGTTTTGCTTTGTTTGCCCTTCCCTGTTGCATTTAGCTACTGTCACCTGTGCCACCACAATAACTCCTTTATAGAAATAAATTAAACTAGTCCCCAAGCATACTGACACACCAAGGTCAACTGAGAGCTTAAACAAAAAGATTGTGAGGACCACTCCTAACTGAACAGATTTAGGAGTTCAGAGGCGGAGCCACAAATATGCATTTCCTTTTCTTTAGTCATTTTTTACATTATCTTTAAATGGTATACAAAGGGGTTTCAATTCAGCATGTCAATTTGTGTGTACAAAGCATCTTGATCTATATCACCACTTTCTATAGTCCCCAGAAATATGTATTTTCGATGAAAGGGCCATATCTAGACAGCCTTGTATTCATTTTGGAGCACACTGACTTAAAGCACATATTTTTGTAAAGTGGTATATACATATATATTTAACATACATTTACATACATATGTAGATATACATATGTATGTGTGTGTGTGTGTGTGTAGTGAACCACATGTAAAACCCCTCTTACCTTGCCTGGCTGATTATACAAAGCATAGAGATAGCCCCTTTCCATCAGTATTGTATGGTACTCAATACTGCTTGGCTGGCTGAGTGTTTCCTCAAAAAGTTTATGAAATCCACAGCACCCTGTATATTTCCTTTTTTCTACTACAGATGCTAGTGTGGCTTTCTTGCAGCCAGCATTCTTCCAGGCACGGGCCAGATGCTCAGCAGTCGTCTTGGCTGTCTTAGGAGAGACCCCAGCTGGAGCAGGGAGTGCCTCTCCCCTGTTCCTGCAGGCTAAAGACAGCAGCAGCTGCATGGTTGGGGGAGGGGGCAGACTGCAGTGCTCTGCTCATTTTTCGAGCTGGAGGCCATCTTTGGCAGGGCTTTTGAAGGGCAATGCAAGACACAGCCTGGTGGGAGGAGAACACAAACAAAGACACCAGAGTAGATGAGCTATTACCATCAGTGGTCTACAGTTACTCCTGAAAGGAGTTGAGCTGTGCTTTTTGCCTACTCTGATCCATAAAATAGGCCTGTGAGTTTTATGACATAAAAGTATAAGGAAATCTCATCTGGCTAGAACCCAGCTCTCCACCAACCTCTTATTCAGAAAACACAGCTGTGAAACAAAATAACTCTATTTTTAAGAAATATGAAATAAAACATTTATCGCTAAATCACCTATTAGGAAGTTGGTTCTGCCAGTGCCCTCCACATAATCATTCTTACTTCATGTGATTCTCAAAAATGCTTCCTTTTGCGGGATTGGGGGGGGGGGGTTGGTCTCAAACCTATAGCAGGAGAGGACTCAGGCATTGTCAGGAACCAGAGCAGTCCATCAGGCCACCTCTCAGGACAAAAAAAACCCAGTAAGCAACAATATCAATGTACATCTGCTCTTTGAGGCCATTTAGGGGAGAAATATGTAGTCTTAAAAGATAGACTTAAAAGATAAAAAGAATAGAAAAATAATCCATTATTTTCATGGATATCTTAAATTGCCCAGAAAGGTTGCATTATATTTACTAATTGTGAATGGAGGATAAGTCATTCATTTTAGAAAGTTTTTTTTTTTTTTAATTGAAAATTGTTACCTTAAAAAAGACCTGAGCTGGCACAGTGGCTCACGCCTGTAATCCTAGCTACTCAGGAAGCTGAGATCTGAGGATCTCGGTTCAAAGCCAGCCCGGGTAGGAAAGACCGTGAGACTCATCTCCAATAAACTACTAGAAAACCGGAAGTGACGCTGTGGCTCAAACGGTAGAGCACTCGCCTTGAGCTAAAGAGCTGAAGGAGCGCTCAAACCCAGAGTTCAAGCCCCACGACCGACAAAAAAAAAAAATCTGATGCTTGCTGGGCGCTGGTGGCTCAGCCTGTAATCCTAACTACTCAGGAGACTGAGATCTGAGGATTGCAGTTCAAAGCCAGCTCAGGCAGGAAAGTCTGCGAGACTCTTACCTCCAATTAATCACCAGAAATCCTGAGCTGAAGAGCGGAGGGACAGTGCCCCGGCCCCACAGTTCAAGCCCCACAACTGACAAAAAAAAAAAAAAAATCTTATGCTTTAAGTGATATAGAGCAGGCTCATATTAAAGTTTTGTTATACATAATATTGCATTAACATTATATTTATTTCTTACCTACCTAAAAGTTATAGGGAGAGCTTATGATTAAATTGTCCATGTCATAAAAAAGGACAGAATCACATGATACATTCTTTTTTTTTTGTTTTGTTTTTGTCCGTCATGGGGCCTGAGCTCTGGGCCTGGGCGCTGTCCCTCGGCTCTTCAGCTCAAGGCTAGCACTCTACCACTTGAGCCATAGCGCCACTTCCAGATTTTTCTGCTTATGTGGTGCTGAGGAATCGAACCCAGGGCCTCATGCATGTGAAGCGAGCACTCTACCACTGAGCCACCTTCCCAGCCCCACATGATACATTCTTAACAATAGTTAAAATCACTAATATTTCTTAGGTACTTCTTGTATGCCATGCTATTGCAACGACTTGACTACTTTATCAGAATCACATACTAAAGTGGAGAATGGGAAACCAAAATCCTAACTTGGAGTATCTCAGAAAAGACTACACACAGAAGAAAAATCATTTTTCATATATAGAAATAAAGGATTAAAAAAAATCAAATATAGAGTACTAATATTGGGTATTAGTGCCAGGGCAAAATATACAACCAAAGGATGCCAATAAGCCCTCTTTCTCATAAAGCATCTCTTCCTGTTCCTCTGTGTAAAAATAGTATTTCTTCCTCTTTCTCCTTTTTTTCTTGCTCTACACTTTTCCCCATTGCTATAGTAAAATTGCCTAACCCCTAATGCATCACTAGCAGACTTGCTTGTAGGTTAGTTTAGCCTCAAGCAGCAAACAACAGATGAAATTTCTTGGTAAAAATTGTTTTAAGAAGCTGAATATGAGCCAAGTGCTGGTGGTTCATGCCTGTAATTCTAGCTACTCAGAAGGCTGAGATCTAAGGATTGGGGTTCAAGGCCAGCCCAGGCAGGAAAGTCTATAAGACTCTTATCTTCAATTAACCACCATAAAACCAGAAGTGGTAGTGTTCGCTTTGAGCTGAAGAGCTCAGGGACAGTGTCCAGGCCCAGAGTTCAAGCCCCAAAACCGACCAAAAAAAAAAAAGAAGTTGAATGTGGGGATACACTGTTGTAATCACAGAACTGGAGAGGATGAGACAGAAGGAACAAGTCAAGGCCACTATGGGCTACACAGTTCCTCACTCCATCTCAAAAAAAAAAAACAAACCAGGCACTGACTGATCTAACCTATACTCCTAGATAGTAAGGAAGCTCAGATTTGAGAATCACAGTTCAGAGCCAGCCCTGGAAGATGAACCTTTTGACACTCATCACCAATTAACTAACAAAAAAACAGAAGCACAGGTGTGGCTCAAGTTGTAGAATGCCAGCCTTAAGTAAAACTGGTCTTCAATGTTGAATTGAAATTCCTTTGTACTTAAATATAACTTTTTTTTTTTTGTCAGTTGTGGGGTTTGAACTCAGAGCCTGGGCACTGTCCTTGAGCTCTTTTGCTCAGGACTAGTGCTCTACCAGTTTGAGCTACAGCTCTATTTCCGGTTTTCTGATAGTTAATTGGAGATAAGAGTCTCCTGGACTTTCCTGCCTGGGCTGGCTTTGAACCACAATCCTCAGATCTCAGTCTCCTGAGTAGCTAGGATTACAGGTTTGAACCACTAGCACCTGGCAACATTTTTTTTTTTCAAGTTGAAAACCGGCCAAGAATGTGAGGCCCTGAATTTAAGACCCAGTACAAGCAAAACAAATAAAGGATAAATACACAAATTTTCAAAAATCCTATTACATTCTTGTGATCTCTTCATTCTGAAGTATTTGCATCATAGGCATTTCTTTCATTGCCTTTTATTCTTCACTGTGCACCCAAGATTCAAGAGAGACTCTCCTTTGCATTGTTCCTATCAACATTTATAGAACAGGTAGGTGGCATGAATTTTAATTCCTTCTGAAAATTCTCTTGATTTGGCAGTTGACAATCCTAGACCTATCAACTGAACTTCTAGCACTGCTGCATTACCCCTACTCCAAGGGAATTACAGAGGCCTTCAATACTTGCTTTGTTGGGGTTTCTGATTTGTTCATCAACATTCATATTTCATAAAAATAGCTCTTGATCTACAAAGGTGCAGCTGAATTAGATGGGCTATTTGCTCACAGCTTTTCAGGTCATAAGTAAAGAAGTAGTTATAGCTGCGTGCCGGTGACTCAAGCCTGTAATCCTAGCTACTCAGGAGGCTGAGATCTGAGAATTGTGGTTCAAAGCTAGCCTGGGCAGGAAAGTCTGTGAGACTCTTATCTCTAATAAACCACCAGAAAACCAGAAGTGGCACTGTAGCTCAAGTGATAGAGCACTAGTTTTGAGCTGAAGAGCTGAGGGACAGTGCCCAGACCCAGAGTTCAAGCCCCATGACTGACAAAAAAAAAAAAAAAAGGTAGTTGCCTAGCATCATTCATTTGTTGAACTATATTATTCATTGAGCATCTACAGTGTGCACTGTGCTAGAACCTGGGCTTCTAGGGGTGAACTGGAAAAGGTTGCTTTCAATTCTCCTGCCTCAGCTTCTAGACTGCTGAGATTACAAACATGTATCACCACTCACCAGCTTAGTTACAGTTTTCTTTATCACAACCAGGAATGAGGCTATGTGTTTCTGGCATATAGAGGCTAGAGTTATCCTGTCTAAAATGTCAGTGCTGAGACTGAAAACAATGTTGTAGATTAAAGTGATCAAAAATAAACTAGGACATAAGTAAACAAAATGATTCATGTAACAAAAGCTAAGCACAGAATGGCTTCTTGTAAGTTTTTTTCTTTAAGTATTTTCTAATTTTCCCACAGTTTCTGCATGGACTAGCGGTTGCTCCAGGTAGAGATAAAATAAGGTGCTAGATTGGTGGAGGGAAAGTATTTACATTGGAGAGACCGAGCTGAATCTTCTATGATGAGGAACAGGTCAGATAAAGACCCACTAGCTGCAAGGCTAATGGGTCTGAGACAGCCATGAATTTGGTTATGTGAAGGGAACAAAAGGTTAAGGAGGCTGAGACTGAGCTAAGAGAAGGTGATTGGGTCATACTGAAGGGTTTGGATTTTATTGCAAAGCTATTGGAGGAGCCAGGTGCTGGTGGCTCACACCTGTAATCCTAGCTACTCACAAGGCTGAGATCGGAGAATTGCGGTTCAAAGCCAGCCTGGACAGGAAAGTCTGTGAGGCTCTTATCTCCAATAAACCACCAGAAAACCAGAAGTGACACTGTGGCTCAAGTGATAGAGCGCTAGCCTTGAGCTGAAGAGCTGAGGGACAGCGCCCAGGCCCAGAGTTCAAGCCCCACGTCCAAACAAAAAAAAAAGCTATTGGAGGAGAGTTATATTATTTGCTGGTTTGTGTGTGTGCACCTGTGCGTGTTGGGGTCCTAACTCTGGGACTTTGCTTGTTAGGCAAGTGCTCTACCACTGAGCTACATTCCTAGCCCTTGTATTTAAGAGATCCTTCTGGCTGTTCAATGATCAAAAATTTATCTCATGCCTTCATTTATTTTCCATGCCTTGATGTATACCTGGAAGAATTTGGAGACAAATCATCATATGAACTTAGTGTATGTTTGTGGGTAGGTGTATATATGCATACATATATGCATACATATGTATGCATATATATATATATATATGTATATTATAAGTGTTTTCATTTGAATTGAAAAAGACCACTCCTTTTTTGTAATGTTTCTGCTTCATCCTTATCATATCACTTTCACGTATCACCACATCACTTTCATGAAGTGATTGAACAGCATAGTTCCAGGAAACGATCAAAATGAGGGAGAGAACTATATGTGCCTTGTGGTAGAAGTTTCCAACCCTTGTCCTGCATCTAAGATGCCTTGGATGCTCAGATCCTACCCCATGGCAAAATCAGGCAGAATCAGGACTGTTAGACAGATCTGGATGTAAGTATTTTATTAATCTGTTTGGTGGTTTTACTATCAGGGTGGAGAATCTTTGTCTTGTGGGAATCTGTCTGAACAAATTTCAACTGCTTTGGCCTAAGTATTTTGGATGTGTCCCTTTTCAGGATAGCATTGGTCAGCTGGAGAATGATCTGAGGAACACCAAGAGTGAAATGGCACGCCACCTTCGGGAATACCAGGACTTGCTCAATGTCAAAATGGCCCTAGACATTGAGATAGCAGCTTACAGGTAACTCCTGAATCAAGCTCACCCAAGCAAAGCACATGCCGTTCCAGGGCAGGGCTACCTGCCTACTAACTACTTATAGTCTCTGATTTCCAATCAGTGAGGAAGGATGAAGAGGAACATCACTTTCCTGCCCATTTGCCTTCTATTTGGATATTACCACCTTCACCTTACTAGTCCCAGAATATTGCCCATAAGGGCTAAAAGGGATATAGTGCTAAGGGCTAAAAGGGTTAATGGAGGTACCCAGAGGTTAAAATAAAAATTCATCAGATCAAGCACTAGTGGCTCATACCTGTACTCCTCGCTATTCAGGGGTTGAGATCTGAGGATTGAGATACAAATTCAGCCTGGGGAAGGAAAGTATGTGAGACTCCAATTAACCACCAGAAAACCAGAAGTAGTGCTGTGACTCAAAGTGGTAGAGTGCTAGCCTTGAGCAGAAAAAGTTCAAGGACAGTGCCCAGACCCTGAGTTCAAGCCCCACAACCTACCAAAAAAAAAAAAAAATCATCATGCCAGGCACCAGTGGCTCATGCCACTACTCTTGAGGTTGAGATCTGAAGATCATGGTTTGAAGCTGCCTGGAGCAGGAAAGTCCATGAGACTCTTAGCACCAATAAACTATTTAGAAAAGGCCAGAAGTGGCACTGTAGCTCAAGTGGTAGAGCGCCAGCCTTGAGCAAAAGAAGCTCAGTGGTCAAGCCTGATTTCAAGCCCTAAGACTGGCAAAAAAATAAATAAAATAAAAATAAATCACTGGGCTGTAAGTTTTAAAATAAGGTTTATCTACTTAGAAAAGTCCTGAAAGTTAGCTGGGGGTATGGCTCAAGTGATAGTAACTTGCCTGGCAAGCCTAAAGCCCTGAGTTCAAACCCTCAAACCCCAGTGCTGCATATCCTTCCCCCACCCTGAAAGCTGACATTTCTCTCTGGATTCCTATTCACGGAAGGATGACAGATCTCAAGTTCAGGCTGCATTAAGTGGTTCCTATCTCCCTTATGGATTTAGCACCTCTTTATCCCTGTAGCAGTTAAGGTGTAAATTAGAAAAATTACTTCTCCCTAGAACTTAGTAGACTCCAATTGTCAAAAATGGGTGTGATGTGGCCAAGGGGCGGGTTGTTGGTTTTCCTTCAGGAACATATTTGTGAGTAGGACAGGCTTCCCTTTGACAATAGTTTGAATGTAGCTGATCATGAAGGTGTGTGTGTGTGTGTGTGTGTGTGTGTGTGTGTGTGTGTGTGTGCATGTGCGCACACGCATGTGCAATAGCTTTTGAGCCTTGGAATGCAAAATTACTAGTCTCAATCGTATAAAGTCCTTGGGAATCTAAATAAAGAACAGGGAATGGAGAATTACATTTTATTTTATTTTTCTAGTTATTTTTTTCTAGTTAACAAGTGGACTTCCTGAGAGTTTTTCTCTGTTGGATTTACAGGAAGCTGCTGGAAGGCGAGGAGACACGATTTAGCACCAGTGGATTAAGCATTTCCGGGCTGAATCCACTCCCCAATCCAAGCTACCTGCTCTCTTCTAGAGTCCTCAGTTCTACAAGCTCCAAAGTCTCATCTGCTGGGCTGTCCCTTAAGAAGGAGGAAGAGGAGGAGGAGGCTTCTAAGGTAGCCTCTAAGAAAACCTCTCAGATAGGGGAAACTTTTGAAGAAATATTGGAGGAAACAGTAATATCTACTAAGAAAACTGAGAAGTCAGATATAGAAGAGAGCACCATTTCAAGCCAAAAAATATAATCCTGCTGCTAAAAAAGTGTTAATGCTTAAGGGGGAATAATATGCATTTGACTTGTTAACCAGCCTACTCCTGAACCGCAACACCTGTCACCACTCCTTAGCAACTTCAAGGCTTCTCATATTTAGTATTACATACTTACTTTGTCTGATAGAAAACCACCCCTTAGATGGGATCAAACTGCAGTCCTGGAGCAATCACAGAAGAGTTATCTAAGAATACAGCTTTCTCACCTAAAGCTTAGGCTTCACAGTAATGGAAGATTTCAGGTATAGAAGAACACATGAAGGTGCTAAGTCTAAGTGGTCCTGGTCATCCTCTGAATGAAATTGAAACTTCTATCTGCTCTAACCAGCCATTGCCAAGCTATGTAGTCATATTATAGATACCCAACCATAAGATCACTGCCAGAGATAAACCGATGATCCACATCCAATTCAACCAATAGAACTGAATTACAAATGATAGGTGTTTGTTTAATGGACATTTCCTTCCCACTGCCCTCAATTTCATGTATTCTTTTTCTTCCATCGGGGTGAAAAAGAAAAGGCTAGTGTAGTATTCTCCCCTTTTAAAACACAGTGAGCTTCTCAGAATTTACTCCCTTTGATCCTCTTTGCTCATTCGATAAAGTTAGATGCATGTCCACTATTTCTGTGATTTGTGTAATGAGATCCCTGCCCATTTCATGTGTCTTTAAAGTTATAGGCTTAAAAAAATGGCAGTGATGAATTCTTAGGATTTCCCCTGACAAATGATGAAAACACTCCCTAGATTTTAGGCTTTGGGCTTATTTAAATCTACTTAATTAGGGGGAAAATGACTTCAAAGAATGTAGCTTTTCACTTTAGCTTTAGAAGCACGATAATAGTCATCCCAAGCTGTGATTAAGCTGACCATAGATTTAGTAGTGTAAGTTAGAAGAAGTGAGTTCTTCTAGGAATGGAAAAGGCCAAGGGTCTCCTCTGTGTCAGTTCCTGTGTGGTGGTGTAGAGTTAGCTTTCCCATGTTCTTGCCTTTAGGATCCATGAATTTCCCTTCCTGATAGGTTTCCTTCTCTAGGTCTACAAGAGGCCTTGCTTCCACTCTCCTATGCCTTTTAAGAGTGCTAAGTGTAGGCTATTCTGTCACAATGCTACCGTCCAAAAGTGGAAAAGGGAGGAAAAAAAACCACTTCTGGTCAATCAATACCACCAGCAAATATTTAAAAAAGAAAAAAAAAAAGATCTTTCTCTTCTCCAAGTCTTCCCAACAGTTTGCTGCATGGTTTGCTGCTCAGTTAACAGGTTTCCTTTCCCGTCTGGAGAGGTAGAAAACAGTCCAGGGAGTCAGCTGTTCACCTGCTCAACCGTGTGGCACCACATTGCCCTGTCTGCCACATGTACCAATTTTAATGCAGGATTCATTCCCTGGCAGTGCTCAGTGCTGTCAGAGTGAAGTTGCCCTACCACACATGATGCTTTGCTGAACTTGCTCATTCTCACACTTGCTTCAATAACTCAAGGAACTTGAAAAACACTTTTCTTCCTTTCCCTGACCGGTCGCTGTCTTTACGCCTCACATTTACTGTAAGACTCTAGTAAAATAAGTTAAAAGTCCTCTGAATCCACCTGTGGAACTTGTGTTGTGTGGTTTCTGCTGTTTCGCTGGGTAGTGTTATTTGGGTTCAGGAGGCCATCTAGCTCTGACTAATCCAAGAACATATATGGAAAATTCTAAGCATGGAAAACATTCAGAATTGAAAGGCAGCCGAGCACTGGTGGCTCATGCTTGTAATCCCAGCCACTCCAGAGGCTTAGATCTGAGGATTGTAGTTCAAAGGCAGCCCATGAGTCTCTTATCTCCAGTTAGTACCAGAAAACCAGAGGTGGCACTATGTCTTAAAGTGGTAGAGCACTAGCTTGAGCAAAAAGAACTCAGGGACAGTGCCCAGGCTGAGTTCAAGCCCCACGACTGACCAAAAAAAGGCAGAAAGGGGAAGGGAAGCCAGCAATATCACCTGTTACAACACAACAACAAAATGAGTCCAAGAGATGGTAGGAAAGTCTGCCTGAAGAGTAGACCAATGATCCCAGAATAACTTACTGCCAGTTCTAGAGCCTGAACTCAGGGCTTGGGCGCTGTCCATTAGCTTTTTCCACTCAAGGCTGGTGTGCTACACTTGAGCCATACTTCCACTTCCAGCTTTCTGGTGGTTTTAATTAGAGGTAAGAGTCTCATGGACATTTCTGCCTGGGCTGACTTCAAACTTCAATCCTCAGATCTCAGCCTCTTGCTAGGATTATATGCATGAACAGCGCCCAGCTCGTAAGACTCTTTTATCTCCAATAAACCACCAGAAAAACCAGAAGTGGTACTATGGCTCAAGTGGTAGAGCGCTGAGCTGAAGAGCTGAGGGACAACGCCCAGGCCCAGAGTTCAAGCCCCACAACCAACAATAAATAAATATAAAGAAGCCCAATCTCAGACTGACAAGATTAGGACCCTTTTCTAATGTCACACATCAAATAGCAGACCTGAGATTCAGACCATTGGCTTGTATCCCACTTCACAAACACATGCCTTCTTGATGTTGCTCCTTTGCATAAAAGAAAGTGCCTACTGATAGTGGTGGTAGATGCTGTAGTCCCAGCACTCACAAGGCTGATGCAGAATTGAAATTTGAAGCCAGCCTGGACAACATAGCAAGACTGTCTCAAAAAACTTTGTGTGTGTGTGTGTGTGTGTGTGTGTGTGTGTGTGTGTGTGTGAGATGGAGCGTGAACTCTAGGCCTGGGCACTGTCCCTCAGTTCTTCCCTCAAGACTAGCACTCTACCACTTGAGCCACCGTGCCACTTCTGGTTTTTTGGTGGTTTATTGAAGAGTCTCACTGGGAAGGTAGCTCAGTGGTAGAGTGCTTGCCTTGCATGCACTTCGATTCCTCAGCACCACAAAAGCAGTAAAAGCCAGAAGTGGCGTTGTGGCTCAAGTGGTAGAATGGTAGCCTTGAGCTAAAGAGCTGAGGAACAGTACCCAGGCCCAGAGTTCAGGCCCCATGACCGAACAAAAGAAAAAAAAAGACAGACTTTCCTGCCCTGGCTGGCTTTGAACCATGATCCTCAGATCTCAGCCACCTGAGTAGCTAGGATTACAGGCGTAAGCCACCGATGCCCAGCTTAAAAATCTTTTTTTTTTTTTTTTTTTTGTTTGTCAGTCGTGGGACTTGAACTCTGGGCCTGGGCACTGTCCCTCAGCTCTTCAGCTCAAGGCTAGCACCCTACCACTTGAGCCACAGCACCACTTTTTTTGGGGGGGGAGGAGGGTTGCTTATGTGGAGCTGAGGAATGGAACCCAAGGCCTCATGAATTTGAGGCAAGCACTCTACCACTGACCAACCTCCCAGCCCCTTAAAAAACTTTTTTAAAAGGTGCCTACTTGGGCTGGGATGGTGACCTAGTGGTAGAGTGCTTGCCTTGCATGCATGAGGCCCTGGACTCGATTCCTCAGCACTGCATATGGAGAAAAAGCTGGAAGTGACGCTGTGGCTCAAGTGGTAGAGTGCTTGCCTTGAGCTGAAGAGCTGAGGGACAGCGCCCAGGCCCAGAGTTGAGGCCCCATGACCAAAAAAAAAAAAAAAAGTGCCTACTTGAGCTAGGAACAGGTGGCTCACACCTTGTAATCTTAACTATCTCAGAGCTGAGATTGGGAAGATCTGGTTCATGACCATCCTAGGCAGAAAAGTTTGCAAGATTCTTCAACTGAGATCTGGGCATGGTGGTGAGGTCCTGTTTTCCTATCCACAACAGGAAGCCTGAAGCAGGTAGATAGTGGCCCAGGCACATGCCATAACAAGCAACAAGACCCTATCTCAAAAGTAACCAGCATAAATTGGGCCCTGATACCTCATGCCTGTAGTCTAATCTATTCAGGAGGCTGAGATCTGGAGGATACTAGTTGGAGGTCAGCCTGGGCAGGAAAGTCTGTGAGACTCTGTCTCCAAAATAACTATCAAAAAACTGGACTTGAGGTGTGCCTCAAATGGTAGAATGCCAGCCAGGCAAGCATAAGGCCTTAAATTCAAAACCAATACCACCAAAAAGGGGAGGGGCAGTAAAGGCATGTCTCAGCAGAACACCTACCTAACAAGTGCAAGCCCTTAAGTTCAAACAGCAGTACTGCCAATTTTTTTTCCTAAAGTGCCTACTTTAGGGAGTAGGTATACTTCTTACCTACTTTTCCACCTTTTCCTCACCAGGCTTTACTTGCAGGTTTTCTGTACAGAGGCCCTTGGCAAGTCTGACCAGGGTCCCTTCTGTTTCTGTTATTTTGAGTCCTTAACTTCCATTTGCCACAGGGAGTGGGGAATATTTCTTTTTCTATTTCTCCTTACTTTAACCCTGTTGTACTAAAATAAATCTTTGCTAAAACTTTAAAAACAAAAAGCAAAGCCCATTGGAATGAAAAACAAGCATTAACAGTGGATTGTTGTCAGGGCTGGAGAGGGAGCAATGGCAAGTCACTATTCACTGAATATGGGGTTTCTTTCTTTCTTTTTTTCTGTGAGGACTGCAGCTTGAACTGCTTCTGCTTGGCTTCTATCAAACTGGCACTCTACCACTTGAGCCACATTTCCACTGCTGGCTTTTTGGTGGTTAATTGGAGATAAAGAGTCCAGACTTTCCTGCTTGGGCTAGCAAGGAAGCTTGATCCTCAGATCTCAGCCTCTTGGGTGGCTAGGATTACAGGAGTGAGCTACTAACATCCATCTGTTTGGGGTTTCGTTTTAGAGAGAATAGGGGTTTCAATTTAGAGAAAATTAGAGTGCATGGCTGCAAAATATTTAAAGTGTACTAATCACTATTTTTACCCCTTATGTTCTTTATTTAGAGACTGCTCTCTAGCTCAGGCTGCTGGGTTTCAGGCATGGATCACAACACTCAGCTTCTGAATCATTCACTTTGATTTTATGCTATGTAAACCTCACTTCAGGGAATTTATGGAATTATCAAAAAAAAAAAAATG